CTTTTGAAAATGAGATTTAGGCTCCTAAATCAATTAGGCGTTTCAATGCTTAGCGAAGCAATGCTTAATACCTTTAAAAATCTGGGCCCTAGGGTATTTTCCATGCATTTGCTGTTGTTCCAGCCTCTTACTTTCTCCCAGCCTCATGGTCAACTAAGGGCCAGAACATCAGTTGGTGTAAATTAGCGTCACTCCATTGAATTAATCTGGCCCAGAAGTTTGGGAATCAGCCAGCCTTCCTGTTAAATGACCCCACCCTACAGAAGATCCATCTCCAGAACCACTGCAAGCCAATAGATTTTCAAGGTCATCTCCTACTGATATAGGTTTGTCATGCTGGTGACCTGGAGTATTTTCCAGTGACCACTTCCCCCCCCTGTCTCAGTGTGGGCTGTGTACTTGACAAAAAAGGGAATTAAATGACCCAGTCTCGGCCATAATTATGCATTTCACGGAAACAAAGTTGAGCAACTTCTCCAGTTAATTGCTTGAGCCCAGTTTCCTCTTTCAGCTTTCGTCGGAGCTGCTATCTTGGGTTGTTTTATTTCTTTTTTAAAATGGCTTTTATCCTTTACTGTGTATAGCAATATGCAGCTGGAAAAAAAATCCATTTCCTGCAGCTTCCAATTCCTGCCAGCCGATAAGAGACAAGGGTGAAGCCTTCCCGGGGCTCTGGGCCTGGAAAAGGACAGGAGCAACCAAATGGCTAAGAATAGCCTGGCAGCCGCAGTTTATAAAGTCTACAAGGTTTTTTTTAAAATGTGCTGATCTAATAAGGATGAAGCAAGTTTGCAGCTCTCTCCAGGGTTGCCTATTGGATGAGTTTTGTTCCCGTGGCTTTCTGCCCCCTGCCCCAATGTACAGTAAGGCATCTGAAACAGAGCGATAAATGCTCTGGATGGGTCCCCTGGCATCATTTACAAACCCCCGACTGTATTCTCTTGCTGCTCTTGCTTAGCTGGATTCTCCACGCTGCTCAGCCATGAGGATTGAACTACCATGAGACGGAAGAAGTTGGTGGATCCAGATGAAAAATGGAAGGTACCCTGTAAAAGCTGATCTGGGTGGATTGAATGAGAAACCGTTGGTACTGCCAGCAGTAAAAGGCTGAGGGGGCTGGGTGTGATCCTGACATGTGCCAAGTACCTGGCATTCTGAGCTCCTCTAAGGGGCATGCCCCGAAGGAGGTTTCTTATTCTGTTTGTAGGGAGAGAGGTGAATGACAGAGGAAGAATGGGTATATGGTGAAGGCACCAGACTGGAGACCTGGTTTAAATCCCTGGCTCTGCCACAGACTCTCTATGGGACCTTGTACTGGTCACTTAATTTCGGTCTGTGAAACGGGGTAACAATCCTTCCTTTGTTAGCTTTTTGGGGCAGAGCTGCTTCTTGCTTCGTGTCTATACAGCACCTAGCACAATGTGGCCCCGACCTTGGTTGAGGGTCTCCCAGTGTGAGCATAATACAAATAGTAAAGGGGATACACAGCTGGTTAGCTTACGGGGCATCGGGAAGTCTCGTTGTGAAAAAGGAAGGCAAAGGGTGAAATCCTACTATAAGGTGAGTGCGTAACTGGTTGGAAAATCGTTCCCAGAGAGTAGTTATCAGTGGTTCACAGTCATGCTGGAAGGGCATAATGAGTGGGGTCCCGCAGGGATTGGTTCTGGGTCCAGTTCTCTTCAATATTATCATTAATGATTTAGATAATGGCATAGAGAGTACACTTATAAAGTTTGCAGACAATACCAAGCTGGGAGGGGTTGCAAGTGCTTTGAAGGATAGGATTAAAATTCAAAATGATCTAGACAAACTGGAGAAATGGTCTGAAGTAAATAGGATGAAATTAAATAAAGACAAATGCAAAGTACTCCACTTAGGAAGGAACAATCAGTTGCACATATACAAAATGGGAAATGACTGCCTAGGGAAGAGTACTCCAGAAAGAGATCTGGGGGTCATAGTGGATCACAAGATAAATATGAGTCAACAGTGTAATGCTGTTGCAAAAAAAAGCAAACATCAGTCTGGGATGTATTAGCAGGACTATTGTAAGCAAGAAATGAGAAGTAATTCTTCTACTCTACTCTGTGCTAATTAGGCCTCAACTGGAGTATTGTGTCCAGTTCTAGGTGCCACATTTCAGGAAAGATATGGAGAAAGTCCAGAGAAGAGCAACAAAAATGATGAAAGGTCTAGAAAACATGAGCTATGAGGGAAGATTGAAAAAATTGGGTTTGTTTAGTCTGGAGAAGAGAAGATTGAGAGGGGACATGATAACAGTTTTCAAGTACACAAAAGGTTGTTACAAGGAGGAGGGAGAAAAATTGTTCTTCTTAACCTCTGAGGATAGGAAAAGAAGCAATGGGCTTAAATTGCAGCAAGGGAGGTTTAGGTTGGACATTAGGAAAAACTTCCTAACTATCAGAGTGGTTAAGCACTGGAATAAATTGCCTAGGGAGGTGGTGGAATCTCCATCATTGGAGATTTTTAAGAGCAGGTTAGAGAAACACCTGTCAGGGATGGTCTAGATAATACTTAGTCCTGTCTTGAGTGCAGAGGACCGGATTAGATGACCTCTCAAGGTCCCTTCCAGTCCTATGATTCTATCCTGGCCCCATGGAAGTAGATGGCAAAACTCCCACTGACTTCACTGGGGCTAGGATTGCACCTAGAAATTTAAAAAAACAGTAAAACTCCCTCCAGAGTATATTGCAGCAGGTGGCTTTCAATTCTGTGGCAAACAGTTTGTAATTCAATGACATTCTTGCTCCTAGTCTATTACTGGATATAACAATTATGGCGTGATGTTATTATTGGCCAGGCACCAGGGCTTTGCAAAACATACAAGCAGGGGACACAGGCTTTCTCTGCATCTTCAAAGGTCTTTGCAGATCTTAACAAGATCTTTAGAAATCGGGGTCTTTATAACACCCCAAAAAGGGGAATCAGCCATTCCCCCCTCCCTCCACACATTTGTAATCTCTCTCTTGGCCATGGATGTGGGCAAGGACTGAAGAAGGAACAAGTCTGATTTTAGAGAAAATGCTTTATTTCTATGTATAGTCAAAGATCATCTCAATCGTCAGCATAGGGCCTGTCGGTACTGGTGCAAAACCCCAGTGTAGATGTGCTGCACCAGGGTTAAACAGGGCAATTTGCACTAGTGCAAGCCCCGAATTTGACACAATGCATTTGTGCTGGGGGTTTGCACCAGTGTAGCTACTACACTGCTACAACTATCCCCAGCATGGACGGACCCTTAATGTTCTCCGTCCAAAAGCACCCTTCGAGTTCCCTAGAAGTATCCACATGCTGCACATCCCACCGCAAGCCCCAGCTACCCTTACCTAGTAGCGCTGGCTGCCAGAAGCCATGCATGGACCTGACAGAAGGACTGGCTGGTCGCTGCGTGGATGGACCACTGCAGCCTGGGGAGTAAAGCATCCAATGGAACAGTGCAGATCGCCTCCTAGGCCCGATCTTCTGGGCCCTCTGCGTGCTGAACTTCCATTGAAGTTGATGGGTGTTCCATGCAAGATCAGACTCCCTATTATTTTTATAGCACCGTAGGTGCTCATGAGACATCACAGATATATAGGAAGATAAGGTCACTGTGTCCAGGAGCTTATTGTCTAAAGGCCGGTTTCTGCTTCCACTGAAGTCATTAATAGGGGGGTCCCTATGGTTAATGTAACAGCAACCCATGGAGGAGAGGAGAATCAACAGTAAACAACAGAGGAAAATCCCTTCCTAGTAATGAAATCTGTGCTTGTCTCATCCACACCTAGGACACATCACTGTTATTAAACCTTTACGTGCAGTCTCTGGAGAACGCGCCACTCCTCCTGTGCAAGATGCTGGTGATAATGTATTCCAAAGTAACGAGCGATCAAAATTATACTGTACTAAAGGGTCATTCGGTGAAAAGTTGATGGAAATTAGAAATCAGGCCGTGTCTGCCAACAATATTTAACTGTTCGCCAACTCTTCATTAGAAGCTGCAAGCCATTTATGCGTCACCTAGATTTGCATAACAATTTGCATAGAAAACTCAGCCACTGGAAGATGTGTGGTTTTCAAATGGGAAGGCAGCGTGCTTTCAGCATTTCAAACTAGGGACAGGGGGACAGGCCTGGTTTCTATTCCTGGCTCTACCCCGCGACTTTTTTATGTGGCCTGTGGCTAGTCACTTCCCCTCGCTGTGCCTCAGGCTGTCTGTCTGTAAAATGTAAGTTAAAGCGCTCCTTTCCCTCCCGGCGGGACGTGAGGGGTTGAGAATGTTTGTAAAGGGATCTGGAATCTTATTACAGAAGGAGAAGGTGTCACTGTCCGACAGTGGCCAATGCCAGGTGCTAGAGGGGGAAAACTGACTCACTGAATAGCTTCAGGCCTAATCACTGCCCCTCTCGGAGCATCCATTTCCTCCTCTGGAAAATGGAGAAAATGTTACTTCCCCACCTTTGCAGCTTGGGAAGAAATTATGCTAAACCGTGTTAGAATTCTCAAAGCAGTAACTCTTCTGTGATGAGAGGAGACAGATCCTGAGTACAAGATGTTAGAACCTGAAATGCTTCCAAACCTATAACTTTTTTCAATGATATTTTCCCCAGATTGTTTGGATTTGCAAATCTAGTAAAACACCGGAGCATCTAGCATGCTATCCTTGCATTGAACGAGGGCAAAATGTCGGAGGCAAGCTGCCTTGTGCAGGTGACTTTAGAGCAAAAGCTGACTCAAAGAATAGCCTATCTGCTGTAAGGGTACCCAGTGTAACAGTTTTGTTGCTGCATCTTCTCACTGGCTTCTACAAATGGTGTCAGTAATGGTTTTACTGGTGGGAAACATCTACCAGGAACCAAGCTGCTTCTCGCTGTCTGTCTCTCGTCTTTCTCTGTCTCTGTTTGTTCATTGCTATGGAACCGGAGGCTCCCCCGGCTCCCCGGGTGTATTGTTTTTAGACCCCTCTATTCAGATTTCTTCTCCTTTCTCTTTGCTCCCAGCTGGACAAAGGGGACGTGAGCACGCTTAGCCTGCCTTCCAACGCCAGCCATGGCGACGCCGACGTCAGCAACATCTGCTTGGATGTCCCAGATGGCGCCCCAGACCCGCACAGGACGAAAGCCGCCATCGACCACCTGCACCAGAAAATCCTCAAGATCACCGAGCAGATCAAGATTGAGCAGGAGGCTCGGGACGACAACGTAGCCGAGTACCTGAAGCTGGCCAACAACGCTGACAGGCAGCAGGCCTCCCGCATCAAGCAAGTCTTTGAGAAGAAGAACCAGAAGTCGGCCCAGACCATCGCCCAGCTCCATAAGAAGCTTGAGCACTACCACAAGAAGCTAAAGGAGATTGAACAGAACGGGCTCTCCCGACAGCCCAAGGATGTCTTCCGGGACATGCACCAGGGCCTCAAGGATGTGGGGGCCAACGTCCGGTCCAGCATCAGCGGCTTCGGAGGCGGGGTAGTGGAAGGCGTCAAGGGAAGCCTGTCGGGTTTGTCCCAGGCCACCCACACGGCTGTGGTCTCCAAGCCCCGGGAGTTCGCCAGCCTGATCCGGAACAAGTTTGGCAGCGCCGACAACATCGCCCACCTGAAGGACACTCTGGATGACGGGCACCCCGAGGAGGCCTCGAGGACTCTGAGCGGCAGCGCCACCCTGGTGTCCAGCCCCAAGTACGGCAGCGACGACGAGTGCTCCAGCGCCACCTCAGGATCTGCGGCGGGCAGCAACTCAGGGGCAGGGCCCGGCGGCTTGGGGAGCCCCAAGTCCAATACCCTGGACAGTCACCACAATAACTTTGACACCATCCTGGAGGAGCTCCGGGAGATTAAGGACAGTCAGTCGCACCTGGAGGACTCGATGGAAGATCTCAAGGCGCAGCTGCAGAGGGACTATACCTACATGACGCAGTGCTTGCAAGAGGAGCGGTACAGGTAGGGCCAGCCCCAGTGCAGCTGTGTGTGAGCGCGTGCATGAGTGCCACCTCCCTGTCTCTGCAAGGCTGTTCCTACGTGGCTCACACCAGTAGGCCTGCATCTCCATTGGCCCTTCATAGCATTGCTATTTTATATGTAGTTCTTTGCAATTCGTTGTGCAGAGCTGTTCAGTTAAAGCAAATGCCTTCAACGCCCACTGCCACAGTGCTCATGAGCAACCCTGCAATAACAAACCAATGTGCGCAGCTCCCGTGCACCCCCTGAGCAACTCTACAGTGACAAAGCCGTGTATGCAGCCTGGCCCTCAGAAGCAACCCTACAATAACAAACCGCTGTGCACACTTGAACAACAATAACAAATAATTGTGTGTGCACAGAGGACGAGGATATTGGTAAGGAAGTAGATGCACGTTTCAAGCTTCCCAGTGTGGAAAGTAACTGATTTACCACAATGATGCCACACACCTTGACAGTGTCTTTGAAGAAACAAAAATTGGGTGTTACTGAGAGCACTTGGCTTTTTAGGGGGATGTAAATTTCAATATATTTTACTAGTGGGGGGGCACTATAGTTTAAACCCACAAACCCAGCTACAAAGGATTATGGAATAAGGTGGATCCTGGGATGGTCTATTGGCCATTTTGTGGGTCACAGATCAAAAAAAGGCTGAGAACCACGGGCTTAGGGAATGAAACAAAGCCGAGCCATTCAAAAGGGCAAATTTAGTGGTGAAAGGCTCTGTACATACTGTAGTACCTGAGAGTTCTATTTTCCATGGGAAGTGGAATCCTGGGACTCTGTTCCCATTAGGGAAAGGAACCAGGCTTTGTTACATTGATCCCGGCAAGCTCCCATGTAGCCTCCACATTGAAGAGCCAGGCTCTGTCTGTTTGTTTAGCTGTAGGACCTCCCAGCAGCCAATAGCCCTAAAGGAATCCCGTGATGCTTCCCCTCTGCCAATCACCCTGAGAAAAAAGGCTATTTGCTATTTATAAGAGGCAAGAGGAAATGCATCACCTTGCTCGACAGGCAGTGCCAGCCCTCTCAACTCTTGGGAATAGGAAATAAGGACCAGCTTCTAAAGGGGGCATTGGCTTGGCTTTCTTTGTTTAGATCATTTTGGCTGAGGACAAAAGCTGAAACACTGTTTAAAAATACTTCAACTGAGAGCCTGTGTGAGAGTTCACACGTTACAGACGTACGGACTTGTGATGTCATTGGGTTTCCTTTCTTTCCCCTGCTATTTGAAGTTTCTTCCAAGCCCTTCTCAGTAGCTGGAAAATGTCCTGAAATATCCTTGCCAGTGTCAGAGGAGATGGAAATAAATCACCATGTTCCCAAATCCAGATAGTCCGAAGTGGCCAGAGAAACTCCCCTCCCTTCCTTCCTCCCCCCTCCCACCTCCAACAAAGGGGACTAGGGGTAAGGGTCACAGAGCCTCTCTCATCTACTAGAGTTTGCTGATCTGAATGCAGCTTAGGGGCCCAGGTTCAGTAGGAAAGCCATTGCCATCTGATGGCCCACATGAAGCGAGGTGGGGGTGCAGCTCAAGTGGCAGCCACCCCTGTCGTGGTCACTTGGATGGCAGTCTTGACACAAAGTGCAAGGACTGAATGGGTGATGAAGGCAGCTGATCTGCCCTCTCACCCTTAGAGATCAGGGCTAAGGCACTGGGCTGTATTCGTACTGCTGCTGCCTGTGCTATGCCTCTTCTGTGGATAAGATGGGGTGGAAGGTTCGTTTCCCCCACCCCATTAGACACAAGGTCCCCTTCCAACACATTTCATCTCAGAGAGGGAGGCACGGGAGATGCTTAGGAGCTGGGTAACCAGGAGATTCTGAAGCTCCACTGACCTCTGGTTTCAGGGCCATTTGAGTCCATTCCACAGCTAAGGGAATGCTGGAGAATCCAAGATAGCTGCTTCTGAGAGCGAGGCCAGCTCCTCGGGGACTGCAGCACAAACCAGGCATCCTAGAGACAAAACAGAAGAGAGATGAAATAAACTCCACGTTATCGATCGCTGCGTGCACACAGCCTCCTCTGTCTGCTTCTAATCTGCATCCCTCAAAGTGTCCATCTGTGGACTCCAGGCAGCACTGGAACCTGTCCTATTTATTTTAGATTCCATAGTGCCATTGCTGTGTGGAGTGCTTCAACTGCTTGACACCCAAAGTCATTTCCATGTCATCCAAGTCACCTCTGTATGCCGAATATCTGGGGCGCCAGTGAGGTTTGGGCTGTGGGGGGGGGGGAGCTGGAGTTAATGGAATCTGAATTTGATGGAAACAGACTGTTCTCCTTGCATGATAGGAGAAAGATGAGTCAAATGTAATAACCCAGCTGCCAGCATTCACACCTTCCCCATGCACCTTCTCCTCCCTCCCCCAGATACGAACGCCTGGAAGAGCAGTTGAATGACCTGACGGAGCTCCACCAGAATGAAATGACCAACCTAAAGCAAGAGCTAGCCAGCATGGAGGAGAAGGTGGCCTATCAGTCCTATGAGAGGGCCAGGGACATCCAGGTATGGGAACTCAGAGAGCCCACGCCACCATCCTTACTCAGCTGAACTGGCGTCCTTTTGCAGATGAGATAGGAAAGGGGCAGGGCGTTGGGGCGGGGGCAGATTTCTGCAATGGGAGAAGGGACACTACATGCCTCGGGGGAAGTGTGGGGCTAGTACCTGAACGATCAAGGGGATCCCACTTTCAAGGAATGAGCTATCACCCTCCAAAGCAGTCACTTGCTGTGATACGCTCTTCAGAGACAGAGAGCCCAGAGGAGACATCAATGGGACAATTTAGCCATGACCCTCAGAGACTCTTAGTCTGGTGCGGAGCTGCATGGCTCAGGGGACTGGTAATGGACTACTGATGGCTGTTCAGTGGCCCGCATGGAATGTGTGCCTGCAGCGTGTCCAGGTCCTAGTGAACTAAATTCCCTTTGAACATGAGGAAAACACAGGGTGTTTCTGCAAACAGTGCAAAAGTCCGAGTCACTCACTTAGCAGCTGGGCAGAACAGCAGCCTGAAGTGAGCAGAGGGGCTCATTGCAGGGAACATGAAGTCACAGAAATGTAGGGCTGCAAGGGACCTCCAGAGTCCATCTAGTCCAGCCCCCTGTGCTGAGGCAGGACCTAGTAAATCTAGACCATCCCTGACAGGTGTTCGTCCAACCTGTTCTTAAAAACCACCAATGTTGGGGATTCCACAACCTCCCTTGGAAACCTGTTCCAGAGCTTAACTACCCTGAGAGTTAGGAAGCTTTTCCTAATATCTAATCTAAATCTCCCTTGGTACAGAATAAGCCCATTACCTGTTGTCCCACCTTCAGTGGCCGTGGAGAACAATTGATCACCATCCCCTTTATAACAGCCCTTAGCATATTTGAAGACTGTTCTCAGGTCCCGGCTCAGTTTTCTTTTCTGAAGACTAAGTGTACTCAAGTTTTTTAACCTTTCCTCGTAGGTCAAGTTTTGATCTAAACCTTTGATCATTTGTATTGCTTTCCTCTGGACCCTCTCCAGTTTGTCCACATCAAGTGTAGCACCCAGAACTGGACACAGCACTCCAGCTGAGGTCTCACCATTGACAAGTAGAATGGGACAATTACCTCTCATGTCTTACACACAACATTCCTGTTGAAACCTACGGGAGCAAATGCTCCCAGCTTTGGTCAAGTTTCCAGAGGTGCTTAGCTGCCACTTCTCTCTGGAGCACCTCTGAAAACGGGGCTGCTGGAGTCTTACGGACAGGCCATTGAAATCTAGGCATCTGTCAGTCCGTCTGTCTACCTGTCGGGGTGTTTGTATTGCACCCATTACTGGAGGGACTGATCAGAAGTGCTCCGTTAGGACTGTCACATCGCACTGCCCTTTGTGTTGTCACCTTTCAGGTGTCAATAATATACGGGCCATTTATCAGAGGCCCCCAGTGAGTGGATTTGACTGTAGCTGTTCAGCACAATCTGCAGGGGACTGTTCTGCCCCCACGTGGCAATTTGGGGAACTTCCCAGTGGAATTGACTATATTTGATGCTCAGATTTTATTCAGCCTTTGGAAAAAAATAGCACATATATCGTGGAAGGGAAGCAAATACATTTCACATGAATTAAGAGCAAACCAAGCAAAATGCAAATCTGCAAAGCAATGGAAGAGCTCTGTGCTTTCCTTACTTACATGCATTGCACCCTCTTCACCAGGCATGTGTGGGTAGACATAGCTGTAGCCCTGCTCTCCCTATTGCATTGTGCATACTATATACTCCCTCTTGCTCTAATACCTCTGTCTAATGCTCAGAATTAGCGGGTTTGTGTGGAAGCAGGTGGGGAAGGTTTTGAGGGAGGAGTATTTTGCCCTGTGCACCAGAGTCCCGTCAACCAGGGATCCCAAAATGGAGTCTTGCAACTGGCTTATTCCTTACTTGGGGTTTTCTGACTATCGTACACCTTCATTGTAAGGCTCTTCGGGGTGATGCTTTAAGTGGTACAAGATTGTCACATCAGAACCCTAATAATAACTCTACTTTGCATAGCGATAGCTCCCATCATCAACAGATCTCAAAGCACTTTGCAAATGTTAATTGAGCCTGACAACCTCCCTGAGGTAGGTGAATAACACTCCCCTATTCCGGGTGGGTGTACTGAGGCACACAGCATTGTTTAAGCATCTTGTCCCAAGGTGTCACAGCCAGGAACAGAAACAAGGAGTGCTGTACTCTCACCTACACTTCCTCACTGAGTCGAGTACAGAACCCAGGCATCCTGGCTTCCCAGTCCCTGGCTCTAACCCACTAGCTTCCCCTCTCTCATGGAGACAGGCACAGAACCCAGGAGTCCTGGTTCTAACCACCAGACAGCACACTCTGCCACACAATGTAGCTGCTACACTGTGGTGTCCTACCCTGCGGCCAAACTAACCCTGGTTCACGTCTACCTCTGCAGGAAGCGGTAGAGTCGTGCCTCACCCGCGTCACCAAGCTGGAGCTCCAGCAGCAGCAGCAGCAGGTGGTGCAGCTGGAAGGGGTGGAGAACGCCAATGCCCGGGCCCTGCTGGGCAAATTCATCAACGTCATCCTGGCCCTCATGGCGGTGCTGCTCGTCTTCGTCTCCACCATCGCCAACTTCATCACGCCCCTCATGAAGACCCGCATGCGCATCCTCAGCACCGCCCTGCTGTTCCTCTTCCTCCTCTTCCTCTGGAAGCACTGGGACTCCATCACTTATTTCCTGGAGCATGTGTTGCTCCCCAGCTGATTCCCTGGGGCAGGATTCCATTTTCCTACTGAGAAAACAGGAAAGGGAGGGGGGAGAAACTGGAGCCTTCCATAAAATGTCTTCATTCATTCAGTTCAGTCTGGTTTCCCACCCCCTGCACCCATCCGTGTTCACATCCAGCATCCTTATTGTGGCCAGGAGCATGGGCTGTTGAGCCACGATTGTTCACTCCTCCGTGAAGCCCTGGAAGGTGAGGATGGGGAGAGCGATGGAGAGTTTGGAAGAAGCCTGTAACTGACATGTTTTTTTTTTTTTTTAAATGACATGATCGTGATAGTCTCTGGGCACGAGGCTTTCTTTACATGCCAGCCGCCACCGGGACTGGAATTTAAAAGCTTTGTATCCAGAGCTGAGTTTGCCTTCGAACCCAGCCACTGGGAAACTTTCTCTAGAGAGAGGAGAGGTTTTTTCTTAAAGACAAGGCTGGCGAAAAGCTCATACCTGGGATGCAATAAAGAAATCAATAGCAAGAGGAAGAAGTGGAGCTCAAGTGAATATTCTAATGTTTCTGCTCCCAGGAGAGCTTGCATATTTGATGAAGCAGAATGTACACATCACACCAGCTTCTCCAGACCAGATGCACGTGCATTCCCATTGTTACCAAACAGCTGACAAGCCGGATGCAGAATTGGGGTTGCTATTTATTTATTAGGATGGCGTCCTTTGCACAGCTGATCATTGGCGTGTGGCCAGCGGATACCAGTTCGGGTTCCGATCAGAAAACTCGTACACTTCTGGCACAGGTGAAACACATTGTGTTGGCTTTTGTTTTTTTCTCCTTTGGCTTTCGTTTGATCTCTTCAGGGACACGTGGACCTTCCAACATCGCACCTATGAAATTTACGATCTACGCAAAGCGTTGTGCGCATGTTTTAATTTATTTCGAGGTTCTGTTTCCATTTGTGAATCAAGCGTGGGGGTAAAATGCAGCTGCTATCACAGCCTCCATGTCTCTAAAGAAGACAGAGCATGTTGTCTCAAAAGTTTCTTGAATGGTTTCATATTTATGTGCGTGTGTGTATGTATACACACATACAATCACATCCTCTCCTGTTGCAATTGGGTTTAGCTCCAGTGACTTCAGTGGAGCTGCGCCAGTTTACAGTCAAAGAATTTGGCCATTCGTCTCTTTGAAGTTCATTCCTGCTTTCCTGACACAGCCAGAACTTCCACGGATGCTTGTGGTGTACTAAAGAAGTCAGTGGATGTGGTGGGTGTGGCACGGAATGCAGGATTGAGTGCTTGGAAGGAGGGGTTGTCATAAGTAGGTGAACAGCCAGTCACCTCTGTTCGTTAAAGGAAAACTGCCTGTATTGTCTCTCCCCTCGTTTATTGGGCTTTGACACCTAGAAGGTGGTATGGGCTCGTCCATGCTATCTTTTGGTTTCTCAGCTGAACCGGGGACATGCTGTGACTTTGGAGTGTAACGATCTAGCGAGGAAATTCATTCCTGGCCTAACTTAATTGACCAATGAATCCTAGCTAGGATTGCTCCTACAGGCAGAAGTGCAAGGATCCCATTTGTATGATGCAAAGGTCAGTTATTCAAGGGTTGTTGCAAATGATATGCAAGAAGCACAGCTCATAAAGGACATGCTGGCATTTCCCGTTCCAGATCTTTGTCTGTGTATGATCCTTGCACCTTTGCCAGAATGGATGCATGATAAAGAATAAATGACTAGAGGGTGGACGGACTGGGAGGAGGAAGCATTGGGCCTGATTCTCTCCACGTTGTGCAGACACATCTGTGCAAAGTAGGTGTGAAACGTTCCTGTTCTGATGTAGCGTGGTCCTGGTGCGAAGGGTGGCACAGGGTGCAACGTGATAGAGAATCAGACCCCAGGAGTTCTTTAACTGATAGCTTGTTTCCCTCCTCATGGCAATCCTTCCTGCAAGACATTTACAAATGCCCGTTCAAAAACTCCAACATCCTTTTGCCTTTTTCAGTGCCAGTTATGAAGGATGAACACATGTGGGGTGTCCATTTATCAAATATGGGCACCTAAGCTTGGCTCCTGCATTTCTGCCACTTGTACCAGCACCTAGAACTGGGTCCAGGAACCTCGAGTGTCTATTTGAGTTGGGCACTCGTGGTTAAGATATGAACCGAGAACATTTGGGCAGTGGGAGGGGGCACGCCTGCAATAACACCCCACCATGTTTGGCTTTGGTGTTGGGTGGTGGGGACTGCTCTTCAGAATGATCAGCCGTATACTGCAGAGACCTCCGTTGGAAAAGCTCACATGAAATGTACGAGCAACGCTCTGAGCCTTCTTGGAGACTAGGGGGGATGTGAGCCCCAACCTCTCTTTTATACATCTATTTATTTTGTATTTTTGTAAGGATTTAGCTGGAGTTAACATTCCTGATTTTATCAGTTATCCAAGGAAACTCGGATTCTGTTGAAAACGGCGAGCTAATTTATCTATCGACATCAGGTTTGATATTCTCAGACCCGAGGGGCAGAAATCTTAATACACTGATAAAAATGGCTACAACTTATGGCCCAGGTTCAGAAAAGTGTCCTGCTTCAGGACAGCATGTAGGCAGATGCTCAACTTTAAACACTTGCTAAAGTCTCTTTGAAGTCTGTAGGATTTAAACACACTCAAGTGCTGTCCCGCAGACGGGCAGTCATAAGCACATGATTTAAATGCTTTCATGCACTGGGGCCTAAAAAATCAAGGTTCTGGTTCCCCCTTCACTGGAGTAGCTCCATGGACTTCAGCGGAGCATCCCACCTGGATTAGGCAGCAAGCTAAAGTTTTTCATGTCAAAGCGGCAGTTGAAAAAGACAATCTAGTGAACGGGCTGCTTGCCTTTCCACAGCACTGATAGCTCGTGACCTTCTGTACTGGGGTTGGGGGGGGTTCTGATTTATCGGGCAAAGGGTTAAGCTCCTTTTTGGGGGCCTGATTGTTTCTTCACACTAGTGTAAATAAGAAGTTACAATGGTATTTTTGTTTGTATTTCAGTAACACCTAGAGGCCCCAAATCAAGGTCCGGGCGCCCATTGTGCTGAACAGACGTGTAGTAAGAGAGTTCCTGCCCCAAAGAGCTTACAGTTTAAATAGGAGACACACACAAGTGGGAGGAGAGGTGAAGGGAAGTGGCTTGCTTAAAGTCACCCAGTAAGTTAGTTGCAGAATTGGTCATAGAAACCAGGTTTCCTGCATCCTAGGTCAATGTCCTACCCCCTGGACCATGCCGCCCCTCAAGCAGCTCTTTACATGTGCAAAACCAGTTTGAGATCATGGTCTGCAACAGTGATAAGGAGGGACCATCCCTTCTGCAGAGATGACCACTAACTCCTGGGTCGGCTCTCAGTTAGGTCACGTGTGCTCCACCAGGAGCAAGGAGAGGAAGAGGGGCCCTTTAACCCCTCCCTTAAGTTTCCTCCCCTTCTCAATAAGCCATTCCCTCTATTTCCCTGGTGCCTCAGGACCCACATGTTGACCTGATTCCCTCCTCCTGCAGCTAGAACGCTGACAGAGCATGAGGCATTTCCATGTAATCAGCCACTCCCCTGCTGCCCAATGGATGGGAATCTGTGGGATCTTTCTGCCTGTCCATTGTTCTAAAAGCATCATCCATCCCTAATCCGATCACTGTCAGCATCACTGTACAGGCCGCAGGGACAGTGTTACCATCTGGACCAGTGGTTCACCGATCACTGTGGTCTCTGACTGCTTCCACATAGTTACCCCTTGTCCCCTGCATTATGAGCTGCACCAGAGCTAAAGCAAGGAACAGGCAAAACAGAACTCCAAGGCAGACTCCCTTGATACCCTCCAAACCCACTTCTCCTCAGGAGCAAGGCCCACCCGAGTCAAAGTATAGCTCTGCTGTTCCTGCACACACTGCCTCCGGTCAGTCGTAGCAGAAACAGGAGAAGAGGACCTTGCTTCACATGTATTTTAATGGCTGGTTGTTTCACTGGCGGAATTTGGTTTCAAAGACTTGGTGACAACCGTTCAGATGGCTGGCATCAAACATGCCATCGGCAGCATTTAGAGGCTGAACTAAATCTGGTATGGAACACATTGATACACGAAGGGAGGAAGTTTTGAAGGCGAAATGTAGTGGAGATTAGACTTGGGAGGTGTAGGGCCTGGTTTGCCCTTGCCCTGCCCTGCGTCTCATCATTTACCTCCACGCCAAGCGAGGGGGAAGTGCCACTCTACTAGAACAAGAGCGTGTTTTAGCCACTCTGCACTAGTGCAAATTATGACAAGATGCAAGGCAGCCTCAGGCCCACGCATTGGGTGGCTAGGGCTAAATCGCCTCTTACCCCACACTTGTCCACTGACTGCTCCTGATTTACAACAGTAGAAAATCAGAATCAGGCCCCATGCTCTCCCTTATGGAGATATGGGCAATTGCTGACCACTGGCTCTTCCCATCTAAGCGTCAGAGACGCGCCATAGAAGGCAAAGAGGCACAGGAGACGGAGTGGAAGGGTTGCTAAACTGGTGGTAGTGATCAGGCTGCACCGTAGAGCTTCCCAAGTTTCATTTGGCTGACAGGTTTCCCTCTCTTTATCTCTAAGCACTGTTTTAAAAGGACACACCACAACTGTTTTGAGCAAACGTATCTTCTCGGGTCTGCACGGGATTCAAGAATGGGGGGAGGCCAAAACCAAACGAACAAAAAAAAAACCTTTTAAGAAAGCCTCCAAATCGCCCCCAGTCACCAGAGCTCCTAGTCGACACTTAAAAGTTAGGTCAACCTAGCTACACGACTCAGAGCTGTGGGAAATTTCACAGCACTGAGCACCTGTTAGGTCATCCTAACCCCCAGCGTAGACACAGCAGGGTCCACGCTACAGCAGAGCACCATAGCTGTATTACTGCAGCAGCTGAAGCACAGACATACCCTTAATGTTGTCGGAGGCAGGCAGGCTTTCTCCCTTTTCCCGAGGCACCAGATCGGGGAGGAACCACTTAACCAAGATCATAAGCTCCTTACTTCAGAGCAACCAGACTTACATTCAGAAACAGCAAAGTTTCTAGGGCCCAAGACAGGCTAGTGACCTGGGGAACCTGCAGCAGACAACATAGCTGCTGATCCTCTCACTCTTAGCAGCCCAGCGGCCTCCTTTTCCTGTTTATGTAGCCAAGCCACAAGGGTGGGGCAGGTTGCTCCTTGACTGTGTCCAGCCTGTCTTGGCTGTAAACTCCAGACTGTCCCTTAAAGGGGTAGTAATACTCCCTATCACTGTCTGTTTTATAATATATCATTATTTGTATTATGGTAGCAACCAACTGAGATCAGGACCCCCATGGTGCTAGGTGCTGTACATATCCATAATGAGGGACAGTGCTGGCCTCAGAGAGCTTATGATCTAAATAGACAAAGGGTGGGAGGGGAAACAGAGGCACAGAGCATGGTAACTGACTTGCCCATGGTCACACATCAGGGCAGTGTCAGAGGCTCAGTCCATTGGATTTTCATGGCATATTTGCCTTGATTTTGTTCCGCAAGAGCTGCAGTTATTTGCCAGGGTGGGGAGACGGGTTATTTTATGAAAAAACTTTTGAAATGTTAAAAAGGATTTCAATAGATATTATGGGGCAGTTTTATGTCCTTGTTGTTCAGTGACTGTGGCCTCGATCCTGCAAACATGCACACAGGTAACTACTCGTGTGAGTCATTCCTATTGACCGCCACGGGACAACTTACATGAATGAAATTAGGCACACGCCTAAGTATTTGCAGGATCAGGGCCTGAGACGCCACAAATATTCTGTCTCGGGGACACTGGCAGGGAGGGTCAGCTCCCAAATTTAGATTTTGTTTCAAGTTTTACAGAAATGTTTCCTGGATTTTCTTTTGATTTCTACCAGAACAGATTTTTTGTGCAGGACTTAAAAGTTTCCTGCAGTTTTTGCAACCAACCTCGGAGCCAGGAATTGAAACTGTCTTAATTCCCCCCCCCGCCCCCCAACAGTTTAAACTGACCAATCTGGTTCCATTGTGCAAGAGGAGTCAAATGCAAAAAGTGAACGACTGTGTAAATGGCAGAAAGCCATTTAGCGTGTAAAAAAAATGGTTTCAGAAGGGATTCTCTTGCGGGGGGATCGTTAATGACGTGGATGTGGGATTTGCTCTTTTGTTGTTCTTTTTATCATCTGACAGTGTTCTTTGGAGAACAAAGGGTGAAATTCCCCCCAGCACAAGGCTGAGGCATTATTCAGAGCCTCAAGATAGGGTTTGAATCATGGCATTAAGTGGTTTGTAGGCTTTACAAACGGGTGAATTTC